ATGTTTTAGCCAGAATGGTTTGACATTTAAATATGACTTCCCTACGACTTTAAGGCTAAAAACCTCATTATATACGTCACTGACAATTTTTGTTTAGTTTACGGTAAATGTCAGGCTTCAACATGGATTCAATTTTTCAGCCTAACCATATTTCAATGTTCACTCGTGCTTTGCGATGTGGGTCAGGACTGGTTCCCCACCTCAGAAAGCTGACATTACTAGATATTATTAGGTAGACGCTGGATGTAAGGAAAGAACTTTAATTCAAAACACATCAGCATTTAAAAAGAACCACAGGCCCAACCACAGGCCTGCTGAATCAGGAGCAAGACTGAGAGCTGTTAACTGCCCTCCAGGACACCCTGAGTCAGCATTTCTTCTGAACCAGCACATCCAAAACCCTCCTGTTGCTTTTCTTTCCACCGTAGCATAAGCACATCCAGCGACTGCCGTGCACAGTCAGCCTTAGCCTCAGAGGAAACCTGCAGGATAAAGCTTCTGGTGCCAGCGCAGAACCGAGCTGTGTCATCATGTTACTCCTACTTCCTCATTCCTGCAGTGGGACTTTCTACTGCCTGCTGGCACCGATGAGGACCGAGGAGTGATCAGATGGAGTTTATCTCTGTTCTCAGCAGACATAATAAATATTTTCCTTCTGTTTTTACTGGAAACACTTTTTCTCTTTCCGGCTCATCTTCCTGCTGGCAGATACTGCTCCAAAACATCTCAGAGAAGGAAACTTTTCAGTATTTCCCCAAAAAAGGTTGAAAAATATAAGGAACAAACAAGATTCGGGTTCATGATTGATAGAAGAATCTGTTCCAGGTAGAGGAGAATGTCCTCCTTTCATAAGCATTTCAGCTATGAACGGATTACACCTTCTGACACACTTCCTACCTGCCCAGTTAAAGTAAACTACCGTTATTCACTCCCTCCTAAGCTCTGGTCCTGTTCCTTCATAAGAACCCAGTACTCCTATCCCTGCTGAAGATCCATTGAATGCCCCTGTTTGTAAGCATTTTTTATTTGTATTTTATGTAGCTCACAGAGTGATTTATGCAGTTCTTTTTCAGCTCAAACCATGTTTCCACTCTTACCAGACCCGATGAGTTTGACTCAACCTCTTCTACACATGAAACCTCACGAGTCCATTAAAGGTCCCAGATTATGCAAAATTCACTTTATAATCATTTTCATCAGTTATATGTGTCCTGAGGCCTATGTATGTAATAAAAAAAACCCTTTCCCCTCTCTTCCTCATCTAAGTTAATGTGTGCTTAAAAGGCTCCAGATCAAAATAATTTTTATTTTATTTGGGGAAATAATTTTAGTATTATTTGGGGAAATAACCACTACCCCCCTGCCCCATCATCACCAGTCTAAGCCCACCCTCCAGCAGGTGCCATCTTTTATCGCCCACACCGAGCATCCAAACAGACATAGCTAACAGAGCAGGTGCTGAGCAAAGTGCAGGGTAATGTTTTTGTGTGTACCTGAAAGCCTGTAAACATGTTAGCACAGCAGCTAACATTTGTGCCTGTAAACATGTTAGCACTGCGGCTAACGTTTGTGCCTCTAAACATGTTAGCACTGCAGCTAACGTTTGTGTCTGAAAGCCTGTAAACATGTTAGCACTGAGGCCAACGTTTGTGCCTATAAACATGTTAGCACTGTGGCTAACGTTTGTGCCTGTAAACATGTTAGCACTGCAGCTATCGTTTATGCCTGTAAACATGTTAGTACTGCGGCTATCGTTTGTGCCTGTAAACATGTTAGCACTGCAGTTAATGTTTNTGCCTGTAAACATGTTAGCACTGCAGTTAATGTTTCTGTCTGAAAGCCTGTAAACATGGCAGCACTGCGGCTAACGTTAGTGCCTCTAAACATGTTAGCACTGTGGCTAACGTTTGTGCCTGTAAACATGTTAGCACTGCAGCTATCGTTTATGCCTGTAAACATGTTAGCACTGCAGTTAATGTTTCTGTCTGAAAGCCTGTAAACATGGCAGCACTGCGGCTAACGTTAGTGCCTCTAAACATGTTAGCACTGCAGTTAATGTTTCTGTCTGAAAGCCTGTAAACATAGCAGCACTGCAGCTAACGTTAGTGCCTCTAAACATGTTAGCACTGCGGCTATCGTTTGTGCCTGTAAACATGTTAGCACTGCG